AGGGATATCGTTGCTGATGTCAGATGGATCTTGGCTGAAAGCAAAGAATACCAGAAAGATGTTTATTTATGTTTTATTGACTATGCAAAAGCATGCAATTGTGCAGATCAAAACAAATTATGGATAGCATTGAGAAGAATGGGAATTCCAGAACACTTAATTGTGCTCATGAAGAACCTGTACATAGACCAGGAGGCTGTCATTTGAACAGAATAAGGGGATACTGCATTGTTTAAAATCAGGAAGGAGGTGCATCATGGTTATAGCCTTTCACCATACTTACTCAATCTGTAGCTTGAGCAAATAATCTGAGAAACTGGACTATATGAAGAATAGTATGGTGTCAGGATTGGAGGAATACTCATTAACAACCTGTGATTTGCAGACAGCACAACTTAGCTCACTGCAAGTGAGGATGACTTGAAGCACTTCCTGATGAAGATTAAAGACTACAGTCTGCAGTATGGATTGCCTCTCAACATAAAGAAAATGAAAATCCTCACAACTGGGTCAATAAGCAGCATCATAATAAATAGAGAAAAGATTGAAGTTGTCTAAGATTTCATATTACTTGGTTCCACAATCAACACCCATGGAAGCACCAGTCAAGACATCAGACAACGTATTGCACTGGATAAATGTGCTGCATATGACCTCTTTAAAGTGCTGAAGAGCCAAGATATCTCTCTGAAGACCAAGGTGAGCCTAACCAAAACCATAGTATTTTCAATTGTCTCATATGTATGTGAGAGCTAGATAGTGAATAAAGAAGACCAAAGAAGAGTTGATACTTTTGAGTTGTGGTGTTCAAGAAGAATATGAAAGTACCATGAATTGCTAGAAGAACTAACAAATCTATCTTGGAAGAAGTGCAGCCAGAAGCTCCTTGGAAGTGAGAATGGCCAGACTTCATCTCACTACTTTGGTCATGTTGTCAGAAGGGACCATTCCCTGGTGAAGGATTTCATGCTTGGTAAAATGGAGGGTCAATGAAAAAGGGGAAAGCCCTCAATGAGATGGGTTGACACAGTGACTGCAAGGATGGGCTCAGGTATAGCAAGGATTGTGAGGCTGGCACAGGACCAGACAGTGTTTCATTCTGTTGTAGATAGGGTCATTATGAGTCAGAGCTGACTGAAAGGCACATAACAAGAATAACAACAACAACAGTCTGTTGTAGCCATCTCCAGTGTAGGCATCTATCGGACAAGAAAACCCCATGACTGTAGTTGGAAGTTTAGGATTATTTTTCCACTAAACAGTAGTATTAGTTAGTTGAGAATTCTAACACTGAACCACCACTGCCCTACTTTACAGGACTGTAAATTTTCTGGGATCCTGTCAAACAAAAGTGTGTCCCCTGTGAGAGTCAGACAACTGTCATATGAGAAAATGGCATGATATTTTTTAAAATCACAGAATCATTAATTTGCTTTATTTTCAAGCTTTCATAATTTTCCTTCCACAATAATGAACATATTTTAGTTCATACTAACTAAAGTTCATTGCTTAACTACCCTTTGTGGACTACATAATTCATCAACAACAATAATAAAAAGATGTGGCAGATTTTCCATGTTGGGAAGAAGTTAGAAGGCTAACTAGAGCCTTTTTTCTTTTTTTTTTAAATAAGGGAATAGAAATGCTAATAGAGAATAAAGGAACCAGCTGATAGTGAAGAGAGAGGAGGAGCTGACTTTGATGGAAGAAAGGAGTGTGAATATGGTTGTCTTGTTATCTAGTGCTGCTATAATAGAAATACTACAAGTGGATGGCTTTAACAAACTGAACTTTATTCTCTCACATTTTAGGAGGCTAGAAATCTTAATTCAGGGTACCAACTCTTAGGGAAGGCTTTCTCCTTTTCTCATCTCTGGGGGAATGTCCTTGTTGCCTTTCAACATCTGTGAGCCTGGTATTCCTTGGAGATCTCTATGTGTTTTGACATCAATCGTCCCCTAGGTCTAGGAGATTCTTAGCGCAGGGACCCTGGTTCCAAAGGACACACTCTACTCCTGGCTCTTCTCTCTTGGTGGTAGTCAGGTCCCTCTTCTCTCTCTTTTCATCTCTTATAACAGAAAAGGTGTGGCTCAAGCAATGGTGTGACAAGAGTAAGGGCAGTGACTTAAATAATGCATAACTTGAGTACTTGAGTAAGGGTGGCACTTGACTCACACCCTCTTATAAGGCTTAGGGTAAAAGCTACCCTAATCTTGCCTCTTTAACAACACATATCAAAATGGATTTACAACACATATAAAAATGCAGGATAATTACATGAGATCATGAAATGTAGGACAACCACATAATACTGGGAATCATGGCCTAGCTAAGGTTAACATATATTTTTTAGGGACACAATTCAATCTGTGAGAGTGGAGGAAGAAGGTGCTAGGATAGTTTTTCAGGGATGGTCTCTGGACTTTTTAGAACTCTTTCCCTGTTCTTAGAACTATGATCTTCCCTTCTCTGGGAAGGAGGAGGGGATGACAAAAGGCTGCTCAAGTCTTCAGAGAATGGTGATGGATCCATGCCTTTTTGAGACTTCCCCTCTCTGTCTCAAGTTTTTTCTCCATGAGTTCATTTATGCTTCCTTAGAAGTATGTAATGAGGACAGTGGTGGTTCAGTGGTAGAATTCTTGCATGGAGGCAGCTAGCAACAATAGTATTTGAGCAGGCCCTAATTTGTTCTCTCTTTTCATCCATAGTGGTATTAATGTTCATTATGCAGTTACCTTCAATGGTGAGGCCATCAGCAACACCACCTGGGACCTAATTAGCCTTCACTCCAACAAAGTTGAAAACCATGGACTTGTGGAATTGGATGATAAGCCCACTGCTGTTTATACAATTAGTAACTTCAGAGATTATATTGCTGAGACACTGCATCTGAACTTTTTGTTGGGGAACTCCTCCTTGAATCCAGACCCTGATTCCCTTCAGCTTATCAATGGTGAGTTTGATGAGCTCTGGCAAAAACTAATTTCCTAAAATATATGTGGTTCTGAGCGTACTGCATAAGATAGGAACCATCCTCACATAAGTGGAGTTTTAGCCATGCAGCTATTTTGCATAGATTAATAAGGGGCTCTCTGGAATATTTGCAGACTGAGGCCACAAATAGTGGGGAGAGTGGAGAGATAGCATGACATTTAGAAATAGTTTAGAGAAGTGGGAGGAACCCTGGTAACACAATGGTTAAAGCACTTGGCTGGTAACCAAAACATTGGCAGTTCAAATCCACCAGTCACTCGTTGGAAAAAAGATGTGGCAGTCTGTTTCCATAAAGATTACAGCCTTGGGAACCCTATGGGGCAGTTCTACTCTGTCTCACAGGGTCTCTAGGAGTCAGAACTGACTTGATAGCAGTGGGGTTTGGTTTGGTTTAGAGAAATGGGAGCAAAGTATAAGAAAACAGAAGTAGTACCTGGAAGTATGAATTGAAACAGGTTGTAGTGCTGCCCAGGTAACCAAGACTTTAATACTCCAGAGGCAAGTCAGCTGGTAAAGGGTTAAAAGTAGAGAGCAGAAGAGTAGGAACAGGAAGTTTGATGGAAGATCTTAATCAAAGAAGAATTCATAATGGGTACCAGGCAGAATCCCAGGGAATCTAATAGAATAAGTTTGAATTCAGATAGCTATGGAGATCCAGTTGTGATCTGAAATAAACAGGTGGATCTGGGGTCATAAAGAAACAATAAATACTTCAGATTTAGTCAAAAGAGCAACCCAGTCAACATGGAACTAAAGCTTGCAGAGTCTGGATACTAGTATGCAACAGCTTAGCTCATCAGGGACATAGTAGATTAGCATACTTGCTATTTCATGAAAAATATCTCCATAGTTTTTTTGCTTATAGGTAGTTGAGCTTTTAAAAATGTCCAGCAGAGTTTATTTTACTGAAGTGAATGTACATGGAGGAAGTACCAGCCATCAAAGAAAAAAAGGTAAAAAAATTTACTAGCAGAAGAGAACAGAATCAATTTGAAAGATAAGATATAGAGAGGTAATTAGAAAGGAAATCAAGAATTTTTGGGCTTGGTTTTGGGGAGAATTTTTAGAAGGAAAGAAAGAAAAGTCTGGGTAGTTTGTGTGTGTGTCTGTGTGTGTGTATGTATCTATGCATATATTGTATGTGAGTGTGAAAAAGAGAAAGAGAGCTAAAGGGAGGGAAGGAAGGAGGGGAGAGAGGAAGACAGAGGGAGCATTATAAACAAAAATGTTCCTGTGTAATATGATTCCCTCCTCCCCCAAAAAGATTTTTTTTTTTTTTTTTAATCCTGAGCTATTACTTTGGATGCTGGACTGTTCTTTCTTTAATGTGACTCTGTGCTTAGACAGGGCCACAAAGTGGCCTGGACTTTATATATGCTGTAGTGAAAAGACCACTTAGTCCTTAAAATGAGATTAAGAGGATTTATTCAGAAAAAAAGGAAAAAGAGATATATCCAGATGCAGACAGGCAATAGCTCATATAAGTGAGAATTGATGACTCCAGCTAAAAACTTTTAGCAAAGACAGATATAGTCCTGGAAACCAAACCCAAAAACCAAACCCACTGCTGTGGAGTCGATCTGACTCATAGTGAACCCTCCTTGGGTCACTACAGATAGTAGATTGCCCAACTTTGCTTCTGAGGAGTGGCTGGTAGGTTTGAACCGCCAGCCTTCTAGTTAGCAGTCAGATGTCTTAGGCACTATGCCACCAGAGCTCCCAGTCCAGTGAACAAAGAAATTATAATTCGGTTGTTTGATTGGTTAGTCTTTGGTTGAGGTCACAGAAGGATGGGGTAAGGGTGGGGAATGGGCTTCTATTGGATAATTGAATACAGAGGATTACAGTGATAGATTTCAGGAACTAATTACAGAAGTTTTCAATCATAGTCACATCCTTTAAGTGGGATCATAAAACATCACTGGTGGTTGTTTGAACAGCTTTAACTAGATGTCTTCGGAATTTGTGAAAACAATCTTGTATCAGGATCTCATTTCCTCAAAATAGTTTATTAAGCAAAAACGGTTTTAAGTTGTCTGAGAAACCTTAGATAAGGTTGGCTCCCAGACCCATGCAAAAATTCTGTTTACTACATGTGTGCCATGAAGAAATATTTCTTAGGCCCAGTTTATATAAAGGACAGCTATGTCAAGATTCCTTTTCTTTCAGTATAATTCTTTCACATCATGGCTTGACCATAGAGAGGAATTCCAAAACCAAAAAAACCCAATTCACTCCCATTGAGTTGATTTCTATTCATAGCAATCCCATTGTGTTTCCAAGGCTGTGAATCTTTATAAAAACAGGCTGGCTCTTCCTTCTGTGGGGCAGCTGGTGGGTTTTGGTTAGGAGCCAAATGCCTTAACCACTATACCACAAGAGAGTAATTCCTTTAGAGAGGAATTCCTTCATAGCTTTTATGGCTTCTAGCAATTAGCATGCTCATATAACAGGAGCTTGTGAAACAGTTGACTCCACAGCAAAGCAAACTTGACTTCCTAGCAAGCAGGGAAGTAAAAGAACCGTTTAATTCAGGAGGAACTGAGTTTAAGTCAGTCATTCAGTTTTGATCAAAAAGGTTTAATTAATTTATCCTTTACATATGGTTACTGGCAGGAAGGGGAGGAGACTGAGTTAGGGTAATTGGGGGTGAAACTAAATGTTCATGAAATGTTGAGTGCAAAACAAACTCTGCTCTGTAAACTTGCACCTAAAGCCACCCCCTCCCCAAATCATGGTTTAAAAAAAAAAAA